CTATGTCAAAATAACAGTGCTTTTATTCTGTTTGTCTGTGTTTTAACAGTCATCTCAAACTGGTGACCAGCACATAAAGGTATACTGTAGACCACTTGTTTGGTCTGATGATAACATGTTTTTACATGAGAAAAATATTGAAAATTGAAAGATTTCACACAAAAATCTGATTTCCAACTTCTGGACAACTGGAGGTGTGTCACCAGGCCTGGATTCTTGCGTGGCCTGGAGCTGAGTGCTGGCTCCATCTCCAGTGAGGCCTTGTCACTCCCCTGTGTTGCTTCTCGTTGCCATCTCACAGGATGTTCTAGGGGCCCATAACCTGCTCTATTGGGCAGGAAGGGCTGTGAGCAGCCCCTGGCAGGGTCATATCTCACTTCCCTCTCTCTGGTGACTGTCATAAGTGCTGGTGCAGAGAAGGCAATGGGCCACTAGCGTGAGCTCACTTCAGCATCCTGTGCAACTTTTCAGAGATGCATATTTTTTCTTCCTAGGAGCCGGGGCACCTGTTCTCGTGCTGGTCAACTGAGGCTGTCACTCAGGCCGGGCCTCCCAGGAACTGAGACACTGAGACACCCCGTAAAACACCAGCAGGTTTCCCCCTGAGCACCAGAAAATCCAAAGGGAAGATCATTAGAATCCGTGACACCGAGTCAACCATATCCAAATGAGACTAAAGCTGGAAGGGGCTGCAAGGGACTAACCCTCTCCTGTTTGAGCTGGCATCGGGCATCCTCCTCGCTCTAGGCTGGGCCTGCCCATGATTGACAGCTGGCTCCAGAGATTTGCGTTAGCAGATCGTAAGTAAAAATCCCATTAAAATGGCATTCTCCTCATCAGGAGGCTCCCTTTACTGAGGTACACTGGGTTTTCAGGGGCATTTCCTGGAGCTGCCAGCTGATGGATTGACCTGGCAATCTGTCCACCCTGGCAAAGGCCCTCTGGGGTGTGGGGCTAAGGGCTGGACTGTGGGGAGAGCACAGCTTCTCTGGGGCACCTGCCTCTCTCTGTGGGCACCTTCTGGAGAGCAATATGAAAACCATCCTGCTTGACATGCTCTGGCACAAGCTGCATCTGTCCAGGGCTTGGTCTCCCTGCCCGGCTGTGGAGAGAGGAAGGGGAGAACCTTCTTCTAATGCATCTCCCACCACTGGCCCCATTGAATGATGTGGCCTGGGTTATACTGGCTTACACTGGATACATTTTATGAAGTTCATACTAGCCGCCTTCACATTTACCCATCCCTGAAATTCTCAGTCTTCTTTGTATGGCAAAGTGCCTCCATTGTGGCCAATTCTTTTGGGGGACACAGTACCAACTCAATAGCACGATATAAAAGGCCTCTTAGGATTGAATTCCATCTGCTTTCTCCAAACTTGGGTCCTACTTGCCAAGGTTTTCCGTTTCTGCCCCATTCCTCAGCTTTGCCACACCGGAAGCTGACAACTCCCTGCTCAGCTCTCCGCCCGCCTGGCTGCCTGGCTGCCTGGCTCCATGGAGCCCTCCACACGCCCTGCAGATGCTGCCCCTCCTGGGGGCTTTCCCAAACCCCAATTTCCAGGCTGCATTTGCAGTCAGGGCCTTTAGGACGCAATGAAGGTAAGTGAGGTCATAGGGTGGGGCCCCAACCCAATGGGGCTGGTGCCTTCTGAGAAGAGGGAAAGGTCTCTGAGCTCTTTCTCTGCCAGTGGGGACACAGCAAGAAGGTGAGTGTCAGTAAGAGAGCCCTCCCTGAGGATCGGAATTGGCCAGCACCTTATTCATGGACCTCCCAGCCTCTAGAACTGTGAGAAATGAATTTTATCATTACAGCCACCCATTCCATGGCAGCCCTAGCTAAGACAATGGAGACAAAGCATGAGCAATGTGAAGATGGGACATTTCATTAAGTCCGTAAACATTTTGCATTTCAGTGACAACCCTGCTCTCTAAATGAAAATACCTTAAATTTAAAAATGAAAACATTTTAATTTGCATCTCTCTGATGATTAGTGACTTTGAGCATTTGAAACAACAATGAGGTATCACCTCACACCTGTCAGAATGGCTGACATCAACAAATGACAAGTGCTGGCGAGGATGTGGAGGAAAGGGAATCCTAGTACACTGCTGGTGAGAATGCAGACTGGTGCAGCCATTAAGGAAAACAGTATGGAGCTTCCTCAAAAAATTAAAAATGGAACTGCCATCTGACCCAGTGATCCCACTTGTAGGAATATATCCTAAGCACATATGCACCCTTATGTTCACAGAAGCACTACTTACGACAGCTAAGATGTGGAAACAGCCCAAATGCCTATAAAAAAGCTATGGTATATTTAAACAATAGAATACGATGCAGCTGTAAAAAAGATGGACCTCTTTCTCTTTGAGACAGCATTGAGGGACCTGGAGAGTACTATGCTAAGCACGATTAAGCCAGTCAGAGAAAGACAAGCATCACATGATAGCACTCAGATGAACAAAATAAACCGATGAGCAAAATAGATCCAGAGACATAGAAGCATGGAACAGACACAATGAATCTTTGAGGGAAGGGAGAGGGGAATTAACCAAAAATCTTATATGCAGATATGCCTAACCCATGGACACAGACCATAGTGCAGACCTGGGAAGGTGTGGAGTGGAGAAGGTCAACAGGGAAAAAAAGGGTAATCAGTCATACTTTCAACAATAAAGATAGATTTAAAAATTGGAAACATTTTAAATTAGCAAGCTCTCCCAAGCAGCATAGCTTCATGGGAAAGGCAGGTTCTCCCCAGGGTGTGCTGTGTGGCCTTGGGCAGGTTACTGACCTCGGGTGGGACTGGGTGGGAGGGTGGCAGAGACCAGGACGAGCTCACACGCACAGCATGCCTGGCAGGATGATCAGGGGATCTCAGCCCTCCTTCCATTCACCACTTTGGGAACACATTCCAGATTTCCTAGATTCTCCTTCCTCACTCCATTTTATTCTCAAACCCTGTGACGTCCTTCGCTGATACCACTCAATCCCATCTGAGGAAATGTCAGGGCATCTATACCTAGCTCAGGCACGCACTAGATCAGTGTTCTTATTAAAAGCCCTCTCAATATAGAATTTATTTTCATTCATCTCAATTCATAGTATGCATTTAAACACATCTCATATAAGCCATACGGCACTTTAGAAGGTAGCTGAGAGGTGGCTGGGAAATCAAATAAACAATGTCAAGATTTCATCACTTCGGCACGGCCTAGAATCCCTAGTTTGGAAAAACATACACTAATCAGATGCCATATTTCCAAAACCCCAGGATCCAGCAAAATGGGATTTACTGGGCGTGGATTAGCAGTTGCCACTGGGATCCCTCAGACTTCTTCCCCTAAGCTGGCCTCCCTGACCTCAGTGCACTGTCTGATGTCCCACCAGGGAGAGGCTGCCTGAGGATAGTGAATTTCTACGAAAGTGCGCCGGCCTGCGCTTCTGTGTGGGTACCGGGGGGTGGCCGTCCTTCTCATCTCAGTGTAAATGGATTCCTCCTGGAACCATTGCCCAGGAACACTCCGAGGTCAGCTCCTCTGGGGTCTGGGAGCTCAGGTAGTTCCCGGGGAGGGTGGGGAAGATGCGGTGATAAAGGGAGAGAAGGGAAAGGATGAAGGAACATTCAGCCCTAGACAAGGTGAGGCGGGAACACACCGTGGGTGTGGAGGGAGAAAGGAAGACTGAGGTTCCTAGCGGTGCTCAGGAGTTGGCTGGGGCAGCAAAGAAGCAGAAGGAGTTGCTGAGACCCCAGCAGGAAGGCCACAGACGGAGCATCCTTCCCCCGGCTTCACTCAGCAGACCCAGCTGCACGCCCCTTCCCTGCCTGCTGGCCACTCTCCCTCTTGGCCATTTAAAACCATCTTTAAAAAGTCAAACTGAGGGTCAGCTCTAGGCTTGCTGCACAGCTCGCCTCTTCAGGGGCACAGCCACCCAGAGAACTGAGTGCTATCTCCCCAATTTCAGCGCTGCAAGTGTCGGAAATAGACCCTTCACAGCTTTTGATTCTAACAAGACATTTCATTTGTCATTGACAAGCATGACACAGGGGTCCCTGTGATCACAAGTCATTAGGCTCTGAAGGGAGACATAGTTTTCCACTTCAGACAAGGGCACGTGTTGCTCAGAGTGCACGTGTCGCTCAGAGTGCACGCATAGCTCAGGGTATACACGTCTCTCACAGTGTACCATTGCTCAGAGTACACGCATTGTTCACAGGGCACCACTGCTCAGAGTACACGCATTGTTCACAGGGCACCACTGCTCAGAGTACACGCATTGTTCACAGGGCACCACTGCTCAGAGTACACGCATTGTTCACAGGGCACCACTGCTCAGAGTACACGCATTGTTCACAGGGTACCACTGCTCAGAGTACACGCATTGTTCACAGGGCACCACTGCTCAGAGTACACGCATTGTTCCCAGTGCATCACTGGTCAGAGTACACACATTGTTCACAGGGCACCACTGCTCACAGTACACGCGTTGTACACAGTGCACCATGGCTCAGAGTACATGCATTGTTCACAGTGCACCATTGTTTACAGTGCACATGTCACTCACAGTGCGCCATGTCACTGCTCACTTCAACATCCCCTGGCCCCTGCTTTCAACCTGTGCCACCTAAAGCAAGGCTGCACCTCATCCAAAGGCGATGACAGAGCATCCAAGAGGGAGACACAGAGCATCCATGACACACAAATGCGCCAACAACGATCACACAGTGAACCTCGAATGAAGGGAGAGAGAACCGTTTCCCAATGCAGAGCAGAGGGACGAGGTGCAGGTTAGCTGACCCTCCCGCGTCTGCCTCGTCTGGTGTCAGTTTCCATCTGGACTTTAAGATGCTCTTTGTCTCCCTGAGCTAATTCTTCCAAAAATCAGAAAATGACCAGAATCCGGCGGTGTCCATCCACTGCCATCATCATTGGAGCACACTGCCCACCCCTGCAAAGGGATGAGCAGGCACGACGGACGGGCCAGATGAGAGCCTTACCTGGTCCAGCTTCCAGTGGAACTCGGCCGGGCGGAAGGTGTCGGCCTGGTCGAAGTCCTTCCGCAGGAGGAAGACCAGGCGGCAGTTGTGCACGTACAGGGCGTAGTGGTGCCGGTTCATTTCTGCAGACAGAGCGAGGGGAGGGGGAGGGTACCTGTGTCAGTGTCAGTCTCAGCAGAGGAGTCTTCCCGCCACATCGCTTAGCACACCTCCAAGGGCACTGGCATTCTAGTCTCTCCTTTACAATTGGTTCTGAGGAATGTTCTAGAATATACATGGTGGAGCTCCTTGAAATGCAAGAGGAAGTTCCAAGAAAGCCCACAGTAAAACTCCTAAGATGTCATTTGGGCTTAGATATCAACCTACCCTTAGCTCAGATGCTGTCTCAGACCCCCAATAACACTTACTTAAGCTAGCAGGTTTTATTGATTTATTTTTGGCACATATCCTTCTGAGAGAGTTAAGGGAGCCCTCTGACAATCCCATCATTCACTCTGGGATCCTTTAACCTAGCTGGCTTCTCCTCAGTTCCAGGCTTTTATCTCATCAGGCTTGATTAGGGGGCGGGAGGGGGGGCGTGCCACCAGGCACATCTTCTCTGATCTCCGTGCAGGGAGGGGGCACTCTCTCACTCTTAGTTGCTAGCAGGGGAGACAGATTTTCCAACCTCACACCGAGTTGCATGACTTTCCAACCCTCTCTCCTCCACGCACAGACAACGCATGGGGCTTTTTCCTTTCCTGATATAGAAACTTCCTTTCCTGCGTAGAAGGTTTCATGCCATGGATCCCAGCCATGATGCCCTGTAGCTACCAGCTAACACCCACTGGGTGGAAGGAGGAGTCGTTTGATCTCACGGTTACGATAGAGTAGCCCGCACGGAAATATCCCACATGGCACACGCTCCACAAATGAGGGGCCAGTGAGCAGGTGACCGGGGAAACGGGCCCAGAGAGCTCAGCAGCTTCTCAAGGGTCACACCCTACAAACTCTGGCTGTCCATCGCAGACTGAGCTGCCAGCCATCCTTCTATACTGCCTTCCCTTTGCTGAGGTTATGTATTTGGGTAACTTAACAACAGCAGTATTTGAGATGGGAAATTATGAAATTACAGTTTAAGATGGAGTGGTAAACTTTGCATAAGATATCAGAATGTGTGTGTGTGTGTGCACATGTGTTTGCATGTAAGGTGTACTGACAAGAACACAGGATTAGAATTAGCTAACTCTACCAAGCATGTCAAACCCGTGGCCGGCAGGCCGCATAAACAAGGCGTGTGGCCCACTGGCCATCAGTGTGACATGCTTGCATTCTAGTTCTGATACTTACTGGCTGTATAACTTGGGACAGGGTACTTAACCTGTCAGGGATGTTTCATGATCCTTAAAAATGCGAAACACTGCAATGCTTTTATAAACTTGTTTGTGGAGATGTGAGACACTGGCGAGGGAGTAACAGCTAACACAGATTGCACTCCTGTATGCCAGGCACTTTCTAAAGCCCTACATCTGCACCAGTCACTTAACCCTGACCAAACCCTGCAAGGCAGACAATACTCTCATGCCCATTTCATAGACAGGAAAGTGAGGCACAGAGGGGTTGACAACTTGCCAAAGATCATCCAGCCATAAGCGGTAGAGAGTTTTTAACCACCACACTGGGCACTGCAGGCTGAAAAGGCCTCGCAGACCAGCCATTAAGTATGGCACAGACATTCAGACTACTCGTTTAAACGGCCAGGCTCTATTATTGAAAATAAACGTTTGGACGTCTTACTATACAGGGGTGGGCAAAAGGAGGTTTACAGGTGCTCTCGTGGAAAAAGACACGCAGGTGACGATTATTACAATAGCTTTATTGTACTCACAACTGTACCCTCCTTTGCCCATCCCCGTGTATAATACAATGAAGGTGGCACTGCTTTGCTTGAAGTAAGGATGCACCCTCCCCCTGCCTTCCCCCACCCCGTCTCGCATCTAGTAACCCCAAGCTGCCTCTGGGAGGCTGGGGTTCTGAAGAACCCAGTGGAAACCAACCCCAGAAACAGCTCTTGCCTTCTTTGTGTCTAAACATCTACTTCCCCCCTTTTCTGGTCCTGCTCTTCCCCGAGTCCAGGAATCAGCAGGAGGAGAGACCAGAAGCCTTTCCCAGAGCCCCTCTCTCGCCCCTGCCGTTCTCCCCCACCTTCAGGGGCTGTGTCTCTGCCTAACTCACCGGTCTTATCTGAGTTGCAGAGGATGGTTTCCTTCTCGGCTCTCACGCCGGGGCTGGGGCCGTGTTTCATCCACATGGTGATGGTGAACTGGTCCGTCAAGTTCTTGGGCACAATCCCGTCAGGGACCTTGGCACCCTGCCGGCCGTCAAACTTGAAGATCATCTCGCTGCTGTCCACCAGCAGTCCCGCAGTCCAGTTGGAGGCAGCGCTGGGGGACGGCAGGAGGTCAATGATGCCGGAGGAGGCTCCTGCAGGGGCGGGGACAAAAGGGCAAAGGGTCATTCCCCTGGGGGTGGGTGGCCTCACCTGTTTTCTGCTTCTAGGTCAGGAGAAGCTATAGATGACTCTTGAACAACACTGATTCGAACTGTGTGAGTCCAATTATATGTGGATTTTTTTTTCAATAAATACTGCAAATGTATCTTCTCCCCCTTATGATTTTCTTAATAACACTTCCTTTTCACTAGCTTTCTTTATTGTAAGAACAAAATATTAATATATATAACATTCAAAATACATATTAATCAACTATGCATGTTATTGGTAAGGCTGCTGTCAGCAGTAGACCATCAGTCGTTAAGTTTTTGGAAAGTCAAAAGTTATACATGAATTTCTGAGTGCACTGGGGGTCAGCCCCCACATCCCTTACATTGTTCAATGCTCCACTGTACTCAGTGCACTTACTCAGAGGACTGGCCCAGCCCTGAGCTAGGTGACTTGGAAATGTTGATGGTCAGCTCAGGGAGGCATCAGCAACTTATAGTGAAGTGTTGTATGTGGCAAGCCAGAGTGCAATGAACTATCATACAAGAAAGAAGTGCTGGAGGGATTCAGGAAAATGGGGTTCCCCTGTGGGCTTTCATAAGCAGGCCAGGTTCCTGGAGAAGGCCAGGGTTTATTTGGATCCATGGATTCATTCACATACTCATCCATCCATTAACCTGTTCAGCCACTGATCGAGCACCGACAAGATGCCAAAACCCCCAGAGGTGCTGGTGATGTAAAGGAGAATCAGCACCATCCCCGACCTGGAGGAGCACAGGGCCAACAAGTGGTCAGATGACTGTGATACAGTGCGATCGGGGCCGTGAGGGAAGGTCTAGGTCCTGATCCCCTGAGGAGTGTAAGCCACTTAGTATTCACCACACTTTTTTTCTCTTCCTTTTTTACAACCACTAGAGGCCCAGTGCATTAAATGTGTTCACTCAGGGAGGGGGGTTCCAGTGTCCCTCTTCCTGGCCTGCACTTTCTCGCAGTCTGGGAACCCTTGGGGGATGTCCGACTGACAGCTTAGGTCTGCTCTCCATGGGGTAGGCCTGCTGAAAGTTGGAATCCTTAGCACTGCTGTGGAAGAGAGAGCACTGCTGCTGTACTTGCCAGTCTTGAGCCCGGCTTCTGGCTGAGAGGTGCTCCCCCTGTGGGAGCACACTGACCACCAGGAGCAGTTCCTGTAGTGAGCATCTGCCCCTGTTGTTCAGTGTGTGCCATAGCCAACTTTTGGTTGATTTGAATACTAGCCTTTTATTATATAGGATTTGTTTAGGCCAAATGGTATAATGGTTGAGTTCTGTAGTCAGAATTTGATGCCTGGCAGAATGACTTGTAGTCCTGTTACTGTGCAAGTAACCTTTCTGATGTTCTACTTCCTTTTCTATTATCTCCCTTCCTGGGGTGTGATGAGTACTGAATAAGAAATGGCATGAGAGCTTGCAGCAGCATGCTCATCACAAGGTGAACGCTCACTCCATGTTAGCTATAACTTTATCATTATAATATAATAATTACTATTTCTGCTACCACTATGATTCCAGACTAATGCATGGGCTTAACCTGAAGCAATGGTAGTGTAGGGGAAAACTTGTGTCTTAAGAGAAGCACACCTGCAACAGAGGGGAGGTGAGCTGAGGGGAGTGAGATAAACCTTGGGCCTCCACTGACTACCCATTGAAACTCAAATGCTGCCACATCCTTATGTTCTCCACATCCGCACGTTCCACATGGGAGCAAGGCTTAGCTACTCATGAAGGAGGGGGGAGGGGGCTTCCTGATACTGTCAGGAAGTAAGAGGCAGGGAATCCAAGGTGTGCACAATGCTGGGGGCCACCGGTGTGGAGCTGTCTCCTGGCTCAGGGCTGACCAGTTAGTTATAAATGCTGATGAGTTTCATGGACAGTGGTTGGGTGTATTACCTGATATTTATCAGGGATCATGGACTTCTACATATGAGAGTCTAAGGATTGGGCTACAAAGTTAACAACCACAAACATTTCCTATAGTTAAAATGACCCTTGCAAGTCCCTCAGGAAAGTCCCATATTGGAAACCAATATACTTCTTTGCAAATGCTCAACCCAGCCAGTTTTGCCTCCAGCCAGTTTTGCCTCCAGCCTTGGAACAGATCACTGGGCCTGAGGTTGAGCACCCACTGGCTTGCAATCGAAAGGTGTGCTGTGTGAACAGGATGCTCTCGTCAGCACTGCAAGAGGCTCACCCTGGAGAGGCCCCTGGGAACCACAGAGTCTAAGAGGGTGGAAGAGTTCGGTCTCCCAATTCATGATCACCTTGTGGCTTAAGTGTATCCAGGGCAAATGTGGGCAGTGTTGACTGCACTATTTACATGCATATTTCTGAGAGTGTTTGGTTGATACCATGTCTGACACACACTAGACATTGCATTAATGTGTATAACTAACTGCCTTTCCTCCCATCTAATGCCTCCACGAGATGCTTCTGGCTATTTACCCAGTGCTCCTGTGAGCCTGCCATCCAGCCTATGGTTCCTGCCCCACATCTCTCATCAACATTTGTTCTCATCCCATTCCACCAGAGCCTCCTTTGGTATCTATTTTACCTATCTGTTAATTCAGACTATTTTTTTTAACACACACACACACACACACACACACACACACACACACACACTTATTTCAGAGAGGAAGGGCGATGAAGGGAGAGATAGAAACATTAATGGGGAGAGAGAATCATTGATTGCCTGCCTTTTGCATGCTCCTACTGGGGATCGAGCCTGCAACTGGAGCATGCGCCCTTGAACAGAATCGAACCTGGGACCCTTCAGTCCTCAGGCAGATGCTCTATCCACTGAGCCAAACCAGTTAGGGCAAGACTAATGTTTTAATGACTAACAAAGCTTTAAGAGTTATCACTCCCCAGAGCTATTTGAATGAAAGAAATCTACCAAGGTGGTAACAGGCTAAGGCTTGGAGTGATTTGGGAGATACATGGTCTTTGGAACAAGTTCTTAGAACCCCTGGACTAGTGCAACATGGCAACAGTTTCTTTGATCCATAATTAAGTTGGCGCTGACACCAGGATTTGGTCTGCATGAAGACAGCCTGCCAATTGGGGCACACACAGAGTGTTAGGTCCTGAAACTTCAGGCAGCCAGGGAGACACAGTCTGAGGACTCAGGGCTCCTGATTTCTGGCTCCAGCCAACGCAGCCCACACCATGTATCAGGGCCCAGTGCAGGGGTGTGTGGGTGACCAGTACACAGTGGAGCCAGGGTGGGGACTGCCACAGATCAGAACTCTATACCTGAGGCTTCTTTTTGTCTAAGAACCTTACTGTTGTTCAGCAAATGTTCCTATAGAATCCACACTGCAATTAGCACCTTAGACTAGTGAAGAGGCTGTCTATAATTTCCCCTAAACAGGTTTGCATAGGGGAAGAGATGTGCAATGTAGGTACAGGTGTGAGGTGTGGGGGTAAGACATAAAGAGATTGGGAGGCAAAATTGGTTGCATTTGCCAAAGGCCAGCCCTGGTCAGGATTATCCTATACATATATCCTACATATATAGTACTTCATTTTTCAGAGTTACAGGTCTTTATTATCATTTCCCTAGGAAACTTTTTGGGGGCGCTGAGTGCCAGACCAGAAAAGTGCTTTTCTCAGTTACTCAACTATGCAGTTAATACTATTGATTCCGGTTTGCAGATAAGAACCCTGAAGCTCAGCAAGCCCAGGATCACAATCAGTTAGGGAGTGGGCCCATCATCAGACCTTCCAGTTCTTTCCTCTCCCCTTAGACCTCCCTACGTATCTGTCACTGAACCTGGAGGGGAACCTTAGAACCTCCTGCACATTTCACAAACGTGGAAACTGAGGCCCAGGGAGGGAAAGCGACCAAGCTCACACAGCCACACAGCAGGCTGGAGGCAAGCCCAGCCCTCAGACACCTAGCTAGTGTTCTTTCTACCACACAGTGGAGTGTCCTGCCAAGCACAGCCCAGTCACCTGGGTCCTGGCTTCCTATGCAGGCCGCTGTCTACAGAGGGGCACGTTGAAGACAGCGTATGACCTGCAAGGCCACCCATGCAGAGCTCCCTTGCTTTCCCTGGTGCGAAAGCAGCAGGCCACCCGCCGCACCCACAGATGCTGCCTACAGGGAAGGAAGCATCAAGCTGCATTTAAGCAGATGGTGCAGATTCCTAAAAAGGCAACATCTTGTGTTTCTTTCCTCCGTGCAATTAAACAGAGATATGCCTTCTCGCAAAGTTGTTCATCCCCCCCCCCCCCTCTCTCTTTCTCTCTCTCATCTCCCCAAGGGATTCCATGGAGAGCAGTGGGTAAACAGATGCATCAGTTTGCAGAGATGATGTGGCATCATCTGCACATTTGGGTGTATTTCAGATGCTCCTTGGGACACTTCCACAAAGTCCTTTGACTCAGCTGAGAGGCCACACTGGTCTTGGGCACAGCAGCTGTGGTGGTGATGAGGCACGGAGGGTTGGGAAGCAGAGGTGAGGTATGATTCAAGGTCCCTGAGCCCTCTCAGGCTGGGGAAGCTTCTGTGAGCCAGCGATAGAGCTGGGGGTGAATGAGGTAGATTCCAGGGTACACTGTGATGTGAGAACCCTGGGGGCAATTGTCACTGTCTGGACTTCTTAATTGAAAGGTTTGCTCCGGATGGTCTTGGTGAGGGCAGAGAATCCTTAGCATCTCCAGTGGGGACTGTGGCAATGGTGATTGACATGCCTCCTCATGGTCCACCACAGCACAGGAAAGGATGAGGATAAGCGGGAAGGTCTCAGGGGAGAAGCAGCATTGTAATCAAGGACAGAGGCCTCATTCCCACAAATGGCAATATCATCTCCACATTATTTCAATAAATGCTGTGTAACATCTAACTTATGCCAGGTACTGCAGTGAGAATGCAGTGAGAAGTAGACAGAAATGGGCCCAACCTTTAAAGATGCAGTAGGAAGTCTTTTATTTTTGGAGGGTGG